ATGGTACTATTTACCATAGTTTCTGAGGCACACATACTGAATGAAGGCAAAATATCACTCAGATTTCACCTTACCCAGAAAACTAATCAAAATCTGCATCTCCTTCAATATATCCAGGTAATCAAGCTTCTTTTCTTTTTCATCTGCTTCTCCTCTTTCTAATTTATTTTTCTTATTGTTTGTTCCTGGTGTTGATGGAATGCTACATTTCAGTAATACAGTATTTTTTTTTCCAAGTGTGTTTTTGGTCACAATTACTTTCTTTACAAGGAAACTCAACCTCTTCTGCCTTCTGAATCAGTTCTACTGCTCTATATAATGATTTCATGCAGAGTGGAATAAAAGCAGCAGAAGCATGTCTTTACAATGTCTTTTCCTTACTAAGTTGTTGCTTTTTCCATGATTCACCACCACAAAAATACAACATCCTTTAGAATGACCACAGTGCCACCACCCCCTCTCTTACACTTGCAAAAATCAGAAATAATCTGTAGTTTAAAATCAGATTAAGGTCTGCTGGGAAAGCAGAATCCAGCCTTTTTGTATCCCACTGTTTTCTCCAGCTATTAGTTTATTATGTAGCCTGTCAATGTCACTATCTTCTGCTGAGAGTGGAATTATTGACTAAATCTAGCTGAAGGAATATTCACAGAAAGTTCCTGAGGAGTGCAAATCATAAGAAAATAATCCATGATTTTGGAATAAAAGTTATTAAAGAGCAGAAAAAGAAGCACGACCTTTAGACCCTCTAGAGTGCAGTGGCTGGTTATTGAGAGTAATTAGAAAGAAGGTGGCTGCAGATAATATAAAGGCAATGTCTAATCTAATTACTTCAGCAGTAATAGTTTGTAATTGTGCACCTGACATAACTCCTTACATTGCAGCCAACTGACTGATCACATGGGGTTTTTGGACAAAATTAGTTGCTTCTCCATCTGGGAGAGTCACAGGCTGCGTGTCCTGCTGACTGCTCCAGAAGATTTATTCAGTGAATTTTTTCTCTAGTTTGACTGCAGATCTTCAAGGTGCACAGCACAGCGTGACTGATCAAAGTAAAAGGTGGCAGCAATCTCCTCAAAAAACCCTAAAGCCAGAATCCAGACTACCTGCAGTGATGTAGACAGAAGCATAAATAAAAGGCAAAAAATATCTCAGAAGATTGCAGGGAGTCAGAAAGTGCTCTGTGAGCACATGTGGCAATGTGTCCATCCCAGGAACAAGGGGATCTGAGGGGAGAACAGGAGTTTCAGCTGCTGTTGTTGCACTTGTATGAGTAGCACAAGACAAAACACCTCCATCAACAAGAGTGAGATTTTCTTAAATCGGTTCCCAGAGCCAGAAACAGAAAACTCAGACACCATTCAAACTTTTGAGAGACATTTCAGTACAGCAGTATGGTGAATTGATTGGAGTTTTGCATAGATTTAATTTTCTATACTTTTGTGTGTGCTTCACTCTTTTTTTTTCTATTTGAATTCATTGTATTTAACAATCCCCAGACATAACTACTTTAGACCTATTAACATCTAAAGGCAATTACCTCTTCAACTCTGATTTCACGATGCCCTTAATAAAGTTAAGTAAGCCAGATTTGATGTCAGTTGAATGCTGACTTTGGATGGGTTGTACTAGTGCCACAAAAAGAAGTATGTGACAGATGAGAAGGCACTTTCTCTGTGCTGCACCTGAAAGCATTTGTGTTCCTGTCAGCAATTTATAGTACTGCTCTATGGACTGGCTTGTCTGTGAGAAAAAGAGTGGGATATGTGTTAATGTAATCATTCTAAATGTGAAGTGTTAATAAAATGTAGATATACAGAAATTTGAGCTTCTATAAATGGACAAAATAGGCATTCCAACTATTGAATGGGAAGATAAAATGCATTAGAAGGAAAATCAAAACGACCCTAGAGATTTCAGCTCATAATGCCATATTGCCTTTTCAGTGCCCAAGGGTTTGCAAAGCTCTCCTTTGGCCTTGACAACAGAAGAGGAATTGCCATTGTGTGTTCATGAGAGCTTTCGGGGGGGCACTTATGCACACTGCTGTACTGAAAAAAATAGCTATTGCTGCCTCACGAGGCTGAAAAGAATCAGAAAGCACAATATGAAAGATGAAGAAGAGCAAGATACTGCATTTGTTTGAAAGTAATGCTGGCATTAATAGTTACAGCACTATGAAGACGTTAAAAACAGAAATGTCTGTCCTGTTTCTGGGTAAAAATGAAAGCATTTATCCCAGTTAAAATAAAAGCTCTCACTTCAGTTTCTAATGGTTTGCTAATCCAATAGATAATGTAGCGAAACCAATTTAGCTCAATGAGGCTTCTGCTGTTGGGACAACAAAACACTTAATACGATTTCTCTAATTTTAAATGCTTCCAGTCCTTATCCTGGAAAAGCACTTGTTAGGAGGAAAACAGCACCCTGTATATTTGTCTCTGAAGCAGAACAGATAACAAATAGCTTATTGAGAGTTTCTGAGAATATTTTTGTTTAAGAAAAAAATCTGAAGCAACTCCTTCCTACCCTGTTTATTACAGCAGTTTAAACCACTTGCTATGGTTGAAAGCCTGTTTGATATTAAAATAACATTGTGTGCAATATATGTTACAAACATAAAGAGCTGATTCTTCCTAATGAAAACAGAATACAAATTTGGCAATGAATATGTGTTTTTGGATGGATTTGGTAGATAGATGAGAAAGGCACTGTGTCTTAAATAGAATTAATTTGAGGATCTAAGCCCCTCATTACATAATGCATCAGGGATCTGCTTTCTCCTTATACCAGCTTTGTGCCACAGCTATTTCTTTTACTAAGTCCTGCACAGTAAAATCAAATCTGAGAAGACAGTCAAGCCCAGACTGTCAGAAAATGTAGCACCAACAGAACTAATCAGATGTTATTGGGAGTTCACTGTTCCATGAAAAGATTGGTCCAAAAAAAGAAATCCAAATATCCTGCATTTCTGAGACACCTCTGGAAACTTATCCCTTTCTTTAACTCTTGCAATACCTCTATTTCCCTTGATCCTCAGTTCTCTTTCCCTTTTTTTTTTCCATTTGGAAAGGGGAAAAGATGAGGAAATTTTCATTCTCTTTGGCACAAGAACATATTAGGCAAAACTAATATAATCTTATTGGCCAATTCTGAAAAACAGGGAGACTGAAAGTCTCAACTGACAAACCTTTGCACCTTCCAGTGATTATTACATAAAAGGCAAGAAACTCAACCCTGTGATAAGCAGCACACTCCCACACACACTCCCACACAAACACACTCTTTCTCCCTGTTTCACTCTGTTACACTGCACACTACTAACCCTATACATGCAATAGAGAGAAAAAGATAGATTGTCATGCCTCAAATTCTCCACACTCTTAAGGAAACTCTTCTTCCTAATTTTGGCCCAAACATCTTTAACATAGTTACTGGATAATGTAAATTACTAGCAAAGCCAGGTATCACTAGTTGTTTATTGGGTAAGTAATCTCAATGAGAGCAGCACAAATATCACAAAACTCAATTTTCATTTATGGGGTTACCAAGTGAGGTAGGGAGAACATTTTTCTTTCCACAGTAATAAATAATTGGTCAGCTTTGACCAATTAGAAAAGGCAGAGCTGGAAGTAGCAAAACAATATATAGGCCACTGAGCTATTCCAGTATTACAATTACTACAGCCTTAAGATTAAATAAAGACTCAGTGATGAAATACAGAGTAATCTGTAAAACATCTGGTATAATGCTATATCCATGCTGTTCTTCCTTTATTGCTGCATTTCTTCCAGCTTTAAACAAATACAAAAGAATTATTTTTGTATATCTTTAACTGCATTTTTTACAGATATATTTAGAATTATCCTACCCTCATCCCTGTGGGTGAAACTTTTACATACACAAGCTTGTATGTGAATATATATGAAGGACAGGATATTCTGTATTTTCTTTATCAATTACAGTGCACATAGTATTGTAAAATCAAACAGGTTGTTTAAATATTCTGAAAAAGTAAATACAGAAGCACAAAGGTTTGGGCTTAGTTGCTTTTAAAGTTGTATAATTTGGGCTACTCATAGAATTCTTTCTCCTCCTGGCTAATGAGATGTCAACAAGAGAGTCAGCTTCTGGTTGTTTCTACCTTATATAAGACAGACAAGTAAGGGAGGTGTTGGCTTAAAATAGTCTTGAAACTATTCGTTTTGTCTATTTTAACACTGGCTAGAAAAACACTAATATTCAAGCCAGCAAGAAAGGCTACAAAGAATTGCCATGGTGATTTCTGATATTATGTAGAATATCTGTTGTACTCCAATTTATGTTTCAAATATATTAATGCTTTGCCTTATTATTTTTACCCAAACTTTGTGGCATGTGGCCCAAATTCATTCCCATTGCACCCAAGGATTTCACTGCCAGTTATTTCAGTGGAAACAATACCTAGTCTCTTCCTTGGCAAAAGAAGAGAGTAAGTAGGCTGGAGAGCAACCTGCACATGCTGCTGGTTTGATCCGCTAAAGAGACATTCTATGGGGAGGCATTTTTATTCTATTTTATTCTAAAGTGATACAGAACCAGTTACTCACACTTCACATGCATTTGGAGATATGAGCTGGCTCTCTCAATTTCTTTGCTGTTTAGTTCACAGTCTGAAAGCATCATCCTAATCCCTACTAAATCTTTAAAATGTTGGAAACTTGGAAGGTCCTAATATAGCTGAAGATTTTGAGTCATGAATTCAAGTACAAACAGGATACCTGTCTTCTACTGAGGTGAAATTAGTACTGATTGACCCTTTTTTGCAACAGCTGTCTTGAAGAAGTAGCTGCCATAATGATGTTTTCATTGGAGCATTTGGGAGGGAGTTTTTGGTCAGCCTTGTCAGCAAGAGACAACTACCACAAGTACCTTGTGTCCGATGCTGTACTTTATATTAATGCAATCATTAACCCAACGACTTTTTTTTTTTCACTTTTAAACTGATTTTTAAAGAACAGTTCTCAACACCCTGAAGCACTAAATAAAGACGTACGACTTGTAAGAATCGCCTGCACAACCGTGATTCCCAGAGCGTTGCCTGGGAATCTCTTGCCATCTGCTGGAAACCTGCGGATGTACAGCCCTGAAAAGAATTAACAAGAGTGCCTGGAAATAATGGAGAATGTTCAGAAAGCAACACTCAGAATGCTCATAACTTTTAGTCAAAAAAGATAGTTCAAGAAGGACGAAACATCAGACTCCCAGGTTGCATTAGTTGGACTACCATCATTAGATTATTTAATAAATAACATCTTTGCTGCTACAGTAATCTGTGGCATGACTGGATGCTGTGGTTGAATGTAGAATTTCAGAAATTAAATATTTGAAAAAAAACCCAAAAACCTTTTTATCTTTCTCTTTCTCAAACAGATTGCTTCAGATCACTGCTCTTAAGACTAAAAGATCTGATATGAAAAGATTCTAATGGTGATTTTTTAAATAACTAAAATTTTAGATATCTCATTTACACCTGGAATTAAAGTAAATTACCTGTAGGAGGCTGTCAGCTCTTCAAATCTAGATGTAGTAGGCAGAAATATTGCAACTTTTAAGTTGAGGATGGCTTGATAGTCAAAAGTCAATGCCTGCCATCTGGAAAATAAAGGGGCGAAAAAAGGTCATGAATACACTCAAGATTTATAACTTGTGTTTCAAACCAGTTACAACTTTGTCAGCTAATGCACAGAGCAAAGCCAAGATCCCCTCCAAAAACTGCCATCTGCCTAGAAGTGGGAAGCATCTACTGAGAAATTCAACTGTTTAAACAGTCTTGTAATGTAAGAAAATACAAACCAACCCAAAACAAGACTTCTAAAACAACAGAACTGATACTAAGTGAATAACTATAAAATATCTCTGTGAGATGTAAAAATATTATGATGGTTGAGATTTTTTTTCATCAAGCACTGAAAATATACCTTAGCTTATCTCCTTGGTAAGTTGTGCTAGAATAAAAAACAGCAATAACCCACACAAAACTTCAGATCACAGTTCTGAAGAACCTTTTATCTCCCAATCCAACAGCTCAAGGAGATGAAGCATTTAATTGATGTGACATGGAGATCAAAGTCTACCTTGACCTAAAAGAATTATGTTTGTAGACCAACCTTACATAATGTTCTCCATTTTAAGCACAGAAATTTGGAATGAAGATTTAAGGGCCCACTTTGAAATCAAATTGAGAGTTCAATAAGGTAAAATTAGCAGTGGACACACAAATAATTTAATTAAAGACTGATAAATGAAGCCATTGGGTGCATTTCCTTGGTGTCAGAGAAAACATCTTGACTGATGGGAATACATTTTTCCATTTTACTGCTAATTAAACTAGTGCCAGCTATTATTTATTTGTATTTTGGAAGATTGTAGAAACACCAGAAGATGTCTCAGAGCTACACTGCTGCAAACTGTCCAACACACAAACCCCAAAGGCCCCAAAAAGGTGATGAGAAAGTGCTAAACATGACTGAAAAACTTGATGTAGGTGTAGATAGAATAGCAGGAGACTAAGGACTGATTATTTTTTTCCATTTCAAAATACAAATTGTGACCACTCAACTCCAGGTAGTAAAAAAAAAATAATTAAAAAAAAAAAAAAAATATATATATATAAAAAAAAAAAATCGAACATTTGTGTCTCCCTGTTTTGGTTTATTTTTCAAATGTGGTGAGTTATGTTGCCCAGTGGTGGATATAAATACATCAAGAAAAAGTCCCAAAGCAACCCCTTTTGCTTGGATAGCTTATTTGCTTAGGAAAGTTTTAAAATACACATGGAAACCAACTGTTTGGGCAGGATGAGCAGCATTTCCACTAGAAGACTCAAGTTCACCATCCAAACTTTATGTGAGGAAAACACAGGAGATCCTGATTCAGTCACAGAGGATTCACAGTTTGGAAATATCAAAGCATCATTACGGAAAAATATCCAAACCCAACTTTACAAAGCGAAGGGCATTAACCATGTCACAGGTTGCCTCCTGTGGAACTCTGGTTGCTCCACCACTAATATATTGTTTTTCTCTCTGGTCTGGCCAGTCTGATATTATTCCCTCTTTATTATCTCAGCTGTGGTTTTCCTGCTTTAGCCACTTTGAGCGGCCCCTCCCCGGACTGGACACTGGATTGACACTCACGGGACATCACTACTGGGGCTTCCTGCTGAAATTTCCTGGAAAGCAGCTCTGGCATCTCTGGGGGGAGGCAGACAGGGCCAGTCTCCTCACACCTGTCCCCTGTCCCCCAGCACTGTCTTCTATCCCTCACAACTGTCCTCCCTTTCATGTCTCCCTAGTCCCTGGCACCTGTCCCCTCAGCACTGTCCCCCTCACCTGTCCCCTACGCACAGTCCACTCACACCAGTCCCCTGACACCTGTCCCCTCACACATGCCCCGCTCCCTCAGCCACCGCCCCCCGCAGCGCCGCGCTCCCATTGGCTGCAGGTGTTCCCCACCCCCCC